ATATATATACTAAATGCGTGCAGTTATAACAACATATATATATATATATATATACATATATATATATATACATATATATATATATTAATATATACATATATAGATATATATATATATATATGTAGATATGTATGTGCGTTTTTTTCTTTCCAATCTCACGTATTCAGCATACTTGCCCATGTCTCAGCCCACTCCCACACCTTCCTTCCACCCCTCCTCCTCTTCTCCAGGGAGCGTAAGCCACCCATCGATCTCATTCAAGACGGGCTGGCAGAGATCAACCGCATCCACACACTACTCAATCAGAAGTACACCGGCCAGGCCCACTTTCCTCTGTTTACGCTGGCGCTCAAGACAGATAACAAGTACATGGCCGGGGAAACCACAGACAGTTCAATGGGGGTGCCTGGGAAGAACACTTGCTCAGGCAAACCGGTGGGGATGGGACAGGCGACGCAGGAAGACTTCCTCAAGTACACGGTGACGGTGTCTACGGGCATGTATGAGCATCGTATGCCCACATGTGTGGGTATCATCAAAGGTAGGCGTGTGAGTGGGAGTAATAACGGGTAGGCGTGTGGGTGGGTGTGATCAGAGGTGGGCGTGCGGCGGTGGGCCTGGGCGAGGGGGTGTCTTCTGATGTAGATGGGTTTATGGCTATAGATAGGTGTATGTATGATGTAGATAGATGTGTGTATGTACAATATATATATATATATATATATGTGTGTGTGTATGTGGCATTGTATATATGATTTATTGTGCATCAATTGAAACAAATAGTCATGGGAGATTGTGAGTGTGTGATACCTTTAAATGCATGTTTGCCAATTCATACGTATAGGTTTTAGTGTAGGTATAGGTTTTTGTTCATAGCTTTCAGTGTTTGTTTAGGTTTTTATTCATAGTTTTCAGTCTAGGTTTTCTATTTTTCAGATTATAGTGTAGGTATATGTTTCTCTTTATAAATTCTGGTGCAGGTATAGATTCTTATTCAAGTGATTTATACATATATCTAAATATGTATGGCTATCACTCCACCAAAGTCAAGAATCTGAGCTGGGTTGTATCCATGAGACTGGCTGTCATAGCAACGTATATAAATAACTCCCTACTCCCTGCCAACTGATCGGCTGTTTCGCGTTCTATTTATTAACCACTCGTCTCCGCGATCTGATTGGTCCAGGCGTACTGCGTACCCTAACACCCGGAGCTGAGGCCATGTCTGCGGGTAGTAACATTGTCATTAAACTGAAGCGAAGGTGCACTGAGCCCAGGACGTTTGCGAGCCAATTCTCCATCTCAGGCGCAGATATCGTAAGTGTGCTTTTGAGTATGTATATATGTATATGAATATGCATAAGTATATGTATTTCACTATAACAATGTATGTGTGTCTGATGTAGCATGCGTAAGTGGTCCTTCGTAGTCACCTGCGTACTGCACTCTTTCACCTGCTCTCAGCTTGCCTATGCTCTTCAGCTTTGTACCCCACACTACAACCGCTTTTACACGCCATACAAATAGAATGGCTATATTCAGTAGCACATTTACCTTTATATGTAGAATACGTTGTTATATGTCGAATATATTCGTTCCCCACGTACACATAAGTATATGTGTATATGTTCACATACACATGTATATATCTACACATATCTCCACCTATACACAACAATACCTCTGCATGCGCCGTATCTCATACCTTTCACCCTCTACCCTCTGCAACCTACAGAACATCCTGTTCCCGTACCACATAGCCTTTGACTATCGCATGCGCGTGGTTCAAACAGGCACCAAGATGTCACACATGTGCCATATCCCTCTGGATAGTCTTGTGTACGAGCAGTTCCATTTCCCGCTCATCTCACCCGAGAAGTAAGTGGTCTGTGTTGTTGTAAGGTGTAGGGTTTAGGGTTTGGAACAGGGGACCTCCACACACACCAACAAGCGAGATGTGTTATGACAGGTTGCGCAGCTCACTATGATAGAGGTTCATTGGTTCTAGGTGTATTGTTTTGGTTTTTTGTTACATGTAAGGATACATTCTTGTGCTGAATTTTTCCTAGTTGTGTTTATGTGTTTACGTTTATATACATATATATGGATATGTTTATGTATATGTTGTTGATCGATATGTATATGTACTTATAGCGCTGGATTCACAAGTATCTCTAGGTGAGTATTTCCTATCTTTTAACTAGGAAAACGAAATTGTTTGTTTGAAGTCCCATTTGGATAGTTGCAGTACAATATAGCATGTCCAAGCGTTACTACCATGCTATGATCTGAGTGTATACAAGGTAGTTAATTGCTTACCCTACAACCCTACAACCCTAACCATGGTATGGGTACCCCTGCAACTTATGGTAACCATATAACCCCAACCCTAGTTGCCCCTAAAAACCCTAAACCTCTTAAACCCAATACCTTATTTCGGTTGTTTCCTCACGGTGAGTTCACCATCCGTATCGCAAATCGAACTTCCCGGTCGGAGTCAACATTACTGCGAACGCTGTTTGCATTCTGTGACGTTCATGGATTGGCGGTGTAGCGGGTCACTAGAGTGCTTATATATATAATATA